TTTCCCCCCCCCTCCCTCACTGTTAATAATTTTTTATTTTTTTTTTTTCTTTTGAGCCGCGCCCGCCCCCCGCAGGTGGGGCTCGGGGTTGATTTTTTTTCTTCTTCTTCTTCTTTTTTTTTTTTTTTTCCTTTTTTTTTTTTCTTCTTCTCCTTCTTTTTTTTTTTTTTTTCCTCTTTTTTTTTTTTTTTCTCTTTTTTTTTCCCCGTTTCCCTCTTTTTTTTAAAGCGAACGCGGGGACCCCGCGGGCTGCCGGCCCGGCGCGGAGTCTGCGCGCCCCCGCACGTAGAAAATAGTTTTACGCGTTTAAAAAATAATGCTAGTGTAACCAAAGAATAATTCGCCGAAATAATTTAAAATATTAAAGAAAATCCAATTGGCAGCCAGCTTTTGCTTTTTTTTTTTTCTTTTCCCCTCGCTGGTTGCTCGCTTTGTACAGGAAATTTGAATATCCTGGCAAGGGCCAGCTTCCCAGGGCAGCCTCGCAGCTCTCTGGGAGCTGCAGTGATGGAGCTGCATGCACAGCGCTGAGACTTTTCCCTCTGTAATTGATCCTAAGTACAATATTTTTTCTCGTATATGCATCGGGTATACAAAGACAATTTTTTTGCATTTGAAGAGTGAGTTTTCCAAGGTTAAATCATTAATTGCTCCCCCCAAAAACCAGAAATTCTGCTTGTGTGTCTTATGCGTGTTAAGTGTAGGTGAGGGACCATCTGCCAAGTTTCATCATCTTCTGTTCTGAAGAAATCCAAAGAACTCACCGGCAACTGTGAAAGTCTGTGTTTAGTTAATCGACTTTGGTGGGAAATACAGTAAAATTCAGCTGCTAATGCAGTAAACGTTTTTGAAATATAAGAGAGAAGCTTTAAGTAATGCTTCATGCAAACTTAACCTAAATCGAAAAAGGAAAAAAAAACCCTCCGTGTGCTTATGTTTTGAATTACTGTTCATCTGACCAAAAAAGAAATAGGTTTTTTGTTTGGTTTTTTTTTCCTTTTCTTAACAAATAAACTTTATAGAAATTGGACTTCCAGATCTGACCCTTGTTGTTTAGAACTGGATGAGATGACAATGCTAAAACTTGGAAGTAACAAAAAGCATCATACTTTTCTTCTCCTCAGCAGTGTTGAGAAAAAACTGTGGATCCTGGAATTTTACTGTGGATTTTACTGGTTTTCTGGAGTGCTGTAAGTTGAAGTCTTGTCCCACAGGCCTTTCTAAGCACCAGTAGCTCCCTGTCCCACTAACACCCCCGCCTCGGTAAACACAGCTGATCCTGCTGCTGACAACCTCGGGCTCGGGTTTCACAGCCAGTGAAGTTAACGAATTCATTTTTTGCCTTATTTCAACCTGCCCTTTGTAGCCGCAGTTCGGTTTCGGGTGCTCGGCCCCACCTCAGAGCGTGTGGATGGCGTGTGGCTTAGCGCGGGGAAGGTGCGCCGTGCTGCAGGGAAAACGTGCTGGGCTCCAGCCGAACTCTCTGCTGCCTCCCTGGCCCTTTTATGGGCAAATTAGCGGGGAAAAAAAAAATATATTTTTGATGAAGCGCGTGAGGAACGACTCGCTCTCACATGGCTTCGACAAGAACAGGCAGGAAATAGATTTTCTGCCTTGGTTTGTGCCCCCAGGAGCGAGTCGTGGCTGGGCAGAGCAGCGATGTTGGGCGATGGCGAGATGCGCAAATGAGAGTGACTTGGCTGCGGGCAGTTCCCACTGCCCGGGCTCCTCCACAGCCCCTGCTCCTCCCGCAGCCCTGCGAGGCAATTCCTGCCGGGAATGGCAGGGCTGGAGCCATGTGGTGGCTGTCGATCAAGCGCCGGCCCTGATCCCGGCCATTGGCCACATCTGTAAATATTCGGACGTGACTTTTGTTTAAACCTCATTGTTCAAAAGGAGGGCAGCAACGAAAGTGTTGGGATTTTTCAGAGGCAGGCAGATATGAAGTGTTCTGGTGGCGTTACTCACACCCTTATTTTCGTTTTGTCACCGTAAATTTGCCTCGCTGATGAGTGCCTGAGACTTTCAGCTGTAATGAGATGATTTACTTTAGTCTTTTTGTAAAATAATAAATGCCTTTTTTTTCAGTTGTTTCAAATGAGAACAATGACTTCAGGATTTGTTTGTGCATGTCTCCTAGAAAACTGTTGGTTAGCAGAGCTGGGGTTTTTGTTCCTATTTTTTTCTATATATAGGAAATGCTTAATATTTACTTGTTGTTGAGCTCACCTAGCCCTGAAGTGTGTGGGTCAGTAAAGGCTCTGTATGCAAATCTGTCCTGTCATGGGCTCCTGTATTTATTTCCTTTCCTTTCCCATGGTGCTCCTTCTCACATTTTTTCTTTCTTTTCTTTTTCTGGTTAGTGTCAGTGAGGAGGGATAAGGTTGTATTTTAAGAGAATCCAGTATTTCAGAGGGAATTTGTTTTAGTTTTTTGTGTGTGTTTGGGATTGGGGCGGGGGGCTGTTTTTTACTTAATTGCCAATATACTTTGGCAAGCAGAAGTTGCATTGTTTTCTGAATTGCATTAATGGTTTTCTGCATGTTCAAATTCCCCAGTTATTTGGGGGATTTAATTAAACCTCTGTAGGTGGCTGGCTTACGTAGATGACAGGTAGAAGTTTCTATTTCTAGAAGAAGCTGGTGCACACACTGCAGGCGTGGAGCTCTTGGCAGCATAAGGGCTGTTGCAGTGCTTTTGCATTGAGGCAGAGCTTTTGGGGCAGTTCTTCTCATGTTTGGGGTTACCAGTGACCAGGACACCCCTGTTCTGGCTGTAGTGAGGTGCTGCTTGGAAGCTGAAGCTGCTCTTGGGATGCTGCCCCTACATGACAGTGAGAGAGGGCACTTGTGGTGTCACCACAAAAGCATCAACCCCCAAACAGCCTCTCTGCATCTCATCTCCTGCCCTAGGCCTGGTTTATCACCTAAACCAGCATAATTAAGATGTTTCCTTTGCTTTTGGTCTGCCAGGACCAGTAGAGTTGTTCTTGCTGCTGCTTTAGGGAGGAAGGTGCTGGCCATGGTTGTGCTCAATGGCTTTCCCACCAGCCCTGGTGTTTCTGGCTGTCTCTCCTTGCTCTACAGCACCTGGGTTATGATTTGGTGTGCCTTGGGTGCCACTGCCCAGAGTCACACTGAGCCAATGGTGCCAGTAGCCCCAGCTGCAGGCGTGGGGAGGATGGAGAGAGGAGGGATTTAGTTACTCTGCAGTCTGCCCTATCTGGAGCTGAAAAATTGATTTATTTTTTTTCTTCCCTAATTTTAAAAATACTTGTACCTTTCTGTGCGTGCCTTGGAACAGCCCTGGTCCCCCCTCCTGGAGTTGCCCCTCTCTGCCATTCCTCTCAAACCCTTTCTGTTGCTTTGTAGCTCCCGCTGAAGTAGCGATCTGGTTCTCCAGAGTGGCTGTGCAGGAGCTGATGTGCCTGTGTTCAGAGGTGAGTTGGGAAGGTAAGCTCATGTCCCACCTGCTCCAAAATACCTGCAGCATCTGCGTCCCTCTGGGTAAATGCAGGTCCCTCTGACACACGTGTCCCTTCTTGGTACTGCAGGTAATACCTGGGAGATATTCAGGTGAACTCAAATTACCCTGTTCAGCTGCCAATTTCTGATGTAAAGTTAAGTTTACAAAGCACAAACTAAGTTTGAAAGAAGCTGAAGTGGGAGATGGGATAATTCAAACATGGAACTTTATTGCATGAAATATTGATGCAGTCATGTCATAAATGTGCATATTTTCTCAGATACGTATTTCACTGCCTATCCCAAATTTCCAGTTGCCCAACACTTGGTGTGACTGTTAATTTTCCCTCTGTGCTAGAGGCTGGTAGAGGTGTATTGAACCCTTGCTTTAAAAGTCCTTACTGAAAAGAGCTCTTGCCCTTGTTGAACTAGGCAAAAGTCTGGTTTATATAAATATAAAAACATTAATTAAAATGTAAACCTCAAGCCGCTATCAAAATGGATTCTAAAGCTGAATGTGTTTGCTGTTGCATTTTTCTTTTGGATTCATTTGAAGAGATGAAAGAAATAAGATTGCACAGGTAGAGTCAAGTAAAACATTGTTGCAGAAGTAATTAATGGTAATATTATGTGGGGGGTGTTTTGATTTAGCTCGTGCAGGCTGAACACTGGGCACGTGTTTGCTTTGCAGCAAGTAGCAGCTGCTCATTAGGGAGTTGGCCCTGGTGCTGTCAGTGTTAAGGACGCTGAAGTGGTGAAAATATACTGGTTTTTTGTCAGCAAATATTTGATTTCAAATTTGAAATCGCTTGGCATGGGTCACGAGAGCTTTTGTGATTCCTATTTTCAAGTTTGCTAAAGAGGCAGGGACTCAGTGGCGCGTTGGGCACGAGGGGATGGCACAAGAATTTGAACCCAGGGCGTCACTTCTGACATTGTTCAGGTTTTTTTGTGATGCTGCTTTTTAAGAAAATGAATTGAAGGAAGTTGTCCCATAACTGGTGGGGCGGGGGGGGGGGAATGTTGAAAGGAAATACAAAAAATATCAGTCTGTCTGCACGGCTCCTGTGCGGGGGGGGGGGGGGGGGGGGAATGTTGAAAGGAAATACAAAAAATATCAGTCTGTCTGCACGGCTCCTGTGCAGCCCAGGCAGGCTGGTGTGTAAGTGCCACTGGCTGCAGCCCCTCCCTGCCCTGCTCTGGTGCTTTCTGCCCTGGTACAGGCAGGGAATGTGATGAACTTCCAGAGAGCTTTAATTTCTGGTCCTATAAGGCTTGTCCATTCACATGGTAAATAAGCATTTTTTACTCTTTTTAAAAATAAGGATTTTTTTTTACATATCTCAAAAGTCAAATTCAGCTGAATTAAAGTATTTTAAGGAAAATTTCGTAGGTTTCAGCTGTTGGAATATGGATTTATTTATCTGAAATGTTAACATTGTGACTTCTGAAAAATCCTTGATGTTCAGCATCACCTAAGAAGAAAGGACAAGGTAATATTTCCCCACAGACCAGCTGGAAGGGCTATGAAGTTCTGCAGGCTCTTCACAGTAGCAAAAGCAACAGATCTTCTGGATCTAAAAGTGTACTATTTGTTGGGACCCAATACTAAGTGTGGTTTGGGGGGAACAGGTAATTTCTGGCCTTGTTTCTGAAATTGGTTTGTTTGCACTGTATAACTGCTTGTTCTCTTATAGTTACAGACTGTCTGATAGCACTTGTGAAGAAAAAAACCCTGTCCTGTGGTGGTAATGCATGCATGTTAAATGTCTTCATTGTAGAGTGTTCTTCAGTTCTTTATATCATGGTTTAAAAAAAATTACATATATATATTCAAAATACCATTTGGAATGTCAACATTCAGTGGGCTTTGAGGAGATGTAGCAGCACATCATGGTTTGTAGGGACAAGGAGATACAGACCATTCTGGGCTGCCTCATTACCTCAAGGATAAGACAAGAAAGTGAGCTTCTGGTTATCATAGATGTGGAAGCTAACACATTCCCATGTATCTCATTAGCTCAGGTATGTGGAGACACGTTCTCTTGGTGCTTGTACTGTGCACATCCTTTACATCCCCTGGGAGCTCCTGTGTCTGGCCCTGCAGGCAGGAAGGACTTGTAGCTCCTTTTTGTTCTCCAACACAGGCATGACCACATCCGGTATATATCTACCCCTCAGCTATTGCTCTTTGGGCCTTTCCCTGGCAAAGGATCAGCCAAGGGACCCTTGCCCTGTGTTTGGGGCAGAGAGGGGGGTCTGGAGGCCGTGGAGAGCTGTCAGCAGTGCTCTAGCAGCACGTAAATACTGGAGTTTGGGATTGCCTGTTGCTCTCCAGTATTGCATTGCTGCTTTAGTGAGGCTGGAAATCGGTCCCTGCCGCGGGGCTCTGGCTCTTGGGGTCCCTCCATGGCACCCCCACAGTGCTTCCCACACTGCAGGGGCTCCTGGCTCCCACCCCAATAAACCACTGCGGAGGCAGCAACCAACGAGGGCTTGGTGTGGTCAATGGGGAAGGGGAGGGGCTGCACCCCAACTCTGCTGGTGGGTACCCAGTGCCCCAGGAGTGGAGGGGGCAGGGGGCACTGCCTGTTGTCCAGCAGATGGTGATGGGCCCTTCCCTGGGCTCTGGGGACAGGGAGGACCTGGGACTGCACAGGGCCAGTGCTGGCCCCTGGGTGCACCCTATCTCACACCTGGGGAGGGGGTGTGGGGGACATTGTGAGGTGCAAAGGTTGGTGGGGAGCAGAGATTCAACTGGGTAAAGGGGGAGGGACGCTCATTGTGCCTGGGGTGCTCATGGGGAAGCCCTGCTGCCAGAGGCATCATCTTTCCCCAAATTTCTGCAGCTGTCCCGGCCTCTGTCAGGGTACCCCAGCTCAGGTACAGCTGCCACAGGGGCGCTGCCAGTGGGCAGCAGCATCTGGCACCACTTGGGCCATGGAGAAGGTTTGGAGCACCTGAGGCCTTGCCTGCAGGCCCACCACTGCAGCAGTGATTTCTCCAGAGCTGTGCCAGTCCCATGGTGAAAGGTTTTTCCTTAGCATTGCACCACTTGAGGCTTCCAAACCCTGCTGGAATAGACACAAGGGCCACCACGGAGTCAGGGATGCTCCTGGGACGGGCTGGGGTGGTGCCTGCCTGCTCAAGATTCATCTGCTAGGTGTGAATGAACCTGTCAGTCCTGCCAGTGATGGTGCATCGTTAACAGCCCCAATCCAGCAGCCTCCTGGTGGCTGTGAAGTCCAGAACATTTGTTTTTTCAGCTATTTTCAGGAATTACTAAATCACAGCCAACAGTTGTAGGGCAGGGGGAAATCCTCACTGATTTACAGCTTCAGTCCCCACTCCTGCTCTGTGCTGCGCTGTCGCAGCATCGGCAGGAGGAACACAAATGTCTCTGGCTTGGGGAGGTGCAAGGGGGTTGTGAGTCAGGAGGAGCAGCTTTTAAAAGCCCGTGCCCTCAAAGAGAGCAAGCACAATGTTTGGGCACACAACTGATGCATTCTAAACCAGACACTGGTATTCTTCCACTAGTAAAATGGTTCATTTCCATTCTCAACAGGTGAAGCTATTAATTGCCAAGTCCCATACTGTTTTTCCTCAAGAAAATAACTTGATGAGTGACTTGGTTAACAGGGAAGTTGGTCAATAAAGTTGGCAATTGTACATTTATATTAATTTTGCATCACTTTGATTTTTTTTAAAGAAAGGTTTCTATTGATATGTATAGGTGGAGTGTAAGTTTTAAAATTTCTTTTACTTTTTTTGGGCCGTTTCTGTTGTGGTCAGTTTGATTTCACTCAGCTAGAAACAGACACTTTCACTGTGTTCACAAGCTGAAGACTCCTGCTAGAGCTGCTTTCAGGCATTGGTCTCGTGCAGGATCAAAACAGGAACAATGAGAGTAAAAGCACAGCAGAGTTTGTGGAGCAGTGGGCACAAATAAAATACAGAGGCTAAATCAAGGCAGCAGGATCCCGGGGGACAGGGACATGCCCCCATGGAGTGGCAGTGCAGGTGTCAGCAGCGCAGGCTGTGGCAGTGATGGCTGTGCCATAACCAGCCAGGGCTCTGCTCCTGCCTGGCTGCCAGGACCTCCTTGTGTGTCCCTGCACTGCTCCAGACACTTCAGGATATTGCCAGTTATTAACAGACAGTCCAGGGGACAGACATCCAGCCGTGCTTTTCTCTCTGAGAAGCTAGGGAAGCCCCTTTCATTTTTTTTCCTGAGGTGCAGAAATTTGCCTTTGACACAAGTGCAAGTGGCTTCCCTACTGCATTTGAGCACAAACCACTTAGAAAAAAAAGCATTAAATGTCTTTGCAGAGCATCCCTGGGCTGACCAGTCCCCCACAGACCCACACTGTGACTCTTTGAGGCATCTGCAGAGGGGCAGCAGCACAGGCAAAGCAGCCTAGGTAAACTTCTTTGTGTAGGATAAGGCAAGATGTGGTTTTTTGTTTATGTGTGAAATTTGCTGCATCAGGAATGCATGTGAGCACTGCAGAGGAAAAGTCTTTGAGTTCCCTCAGTAGTTTTTGCTGTGATTTTATAAACAAGCTGGAAGGCAGCAGTTCCCTGTGGTAGGTAAATACGTGCAGCACATCATCACACCGCTGCATGGCTGCTGGGCTTAGAAGATAGAACTTGAACAAGTTTCTAATTCACACGTTTCTACACCAATCTTCATTTTTTTAAATTTCCCCCAGACCAAAACTCTCCCGCGTACTAAGACTGAGGTTATGTTGCTCTGCTCACAGTACCAGGTACCTCCATTAGAGGTGGTGTGGGAGTCAAACGAGGTGTTGCAGATTCCTGTAAACACTGGAAAAGCAACCCAAAAAGCCACCTTATCTACCTTCAGCCTTTTCCTGTTCACCTCCTTTGATGCAGAAGGAATTCTTGGCAAAGGCTGGCAGCTCATTGTGGTATCCAGCACTGTCTTGCTTTTCTTGCACTTCTTGCCCACCCAGCTCACTTGCTTTTCCTCAGCTCACATCCAGCATGTTCGGAGCCAGGACTGCCTTTGGCAGGTGTTTGTGCAGTGCCTTGCACCACAGCAACTCCCCGTGCCTGCTGTGAGGGACTTCAGGTCTTGCTCTTTGCACCACAGAAACCTTTCCCGTGTCTCACTCTCTCTTAGCGGGGTAGGAGACCCTGGCTGGGTACCCAGCTGTGCAGCTGCCCCCAGCACAAAGCTGCACAAAATAACAAAATCCTGGGTTAAATTAGACGTGGCATGTATCAGCCACATAGAAACAGAAGCCGGGTCACCTCCCCTGTGAGGGCTTGCTGAAGTGACAATGATGACCAGTGCAAGCGATGGCTCTGACACCCTGATGCCACAGTGGTTCCTGGCAACAAACTCACCAAATGGAAGAAAAACACAAATGGAAGTATTTTATTTTCTGAAGCAAAGTGTAAGATGTTGTTCTCCACAATTTCTCACATAAACCCATCCTTGTGGCTGTTCAGGATACTGAAGGTTACTCAAACTGCGACTCAAGCAGAGCATATATTCATTTATAAACTGTCTAGGGTAAGTTCTCATACCATATAGTGTGTGTGAGAAAATAGCTTCCCCCTCATAGTGAAAAGAAATTATTTGAGTGTGCAGGACTGCCAGGTAAGGTCTGATGGCCGGGAGGGGACTGGAGGTGTGGAAGATGCAGCTCGGCAAGAAGGGAGTCGTGATTATGCTGTACTAGAAAGCACACGGTGGTTTTCTAATTTCAAATTAAGGACTTTACACCACAGAAGATATTTCTACCTTTATTTTGTATTCTCTGATTGCTACACGTTGTTTTACATTTTGTGAATGGAGGAGAAAAATTTGTCATGAAAAGAAACAGGGGAGGAAAAATCTGCTGAAGGCACATCAATAAACATTTAGAAGCCCTCTCTGTCTCTCATACACACACACACGCACACAGACACCACATTTCCCTGCTCCTCCCTGCCTTAGGGTTGGCTTAGTCACGTCCCATTTCCTCAGATGGGAAACAGGCAAGCGAAGCATCAGCATCGCTGCTCCGGCACTTCCCGGATGCGCAGGAAAGGCAGCGCCTTCCCATACCCAGGCAGTGTGATCCCTTCCCGGGGAGAAGGGTTTTGTCCCGCTCCAGCCGGCACAGGGACAGCCAAGCCAGCCCCGTGTGCTCCTGGCAGCCCTGCCCCGCAGCCCCGCGCTGGCCGAGCTCGCAGCCCGAATTCCCTGCGGAGCCGGGGGCTCCAGGCGAGCCCGGCCCCACCCCACCGCCCTCGCCCCTTCCCCTGGGCACAATCCATGGGGACACACGGGGCTGTCCGTGCAGGGCTGGAACAGGCGAACTAAACAGGGTTATTTCACTGCCACGGGCAGCAGAATATCGTGGGAGAACCGCGTTTTGCCTAAGTCTTCTCCAAAAAAAAAATCCTGTAGTGTTCCCGTTGGTGCTGCTGAGATTTCAGGGTTGTAAATCGGGCACCAAAAAGAGAGCTGGGGCTGGAGCTGGAAATAGCCGATTCCTTATTTATACAGACAGAGAGTATCTGCTGGGGTATTCTCCTGATTGTGAAGGGCTGGGGTGGGGAAGCACAACTTGTGACAGGGCACAGACTGGAAATGCCCTCACACATCCCTAACGCCCAAAGCTGGATCTTACAGGAACCATGATTTGCTAGAGCTCACCCGGAGATATGCAGGAGACACTCGAGGGCTGGTTCCCTTTCTGGTTACAGTGGGGACAAAATAAAGATGCCACTAACAATGATTGTTAGATAAACACCAGCCTCTTCCTGCACCTTGATTTATTCACCATCACTGGCCTGTTTCTCCTACCTGGTTCCACAAGGGATTCCACCTTCCAAGATGAAGCTTCAAATCATCACTTGGTGTTTACTGGAGCAGAGCCCACACACAGAAGGCATTTGCAGCCCCTCAAATGTGTCCCCAACACACACCCTGCAGTTCCCAGCATGATCCCTCTCTCAGCTTCTCTAGGGATGAAAATCCTCACAGCCAGTTCTTAGATTGTGCTGAATCTTTGTGCTTTTCTAGCCCTACCCTCTTCACCTTGGTGTGTGCAGTACCATGAGCTTACTGGGTATTGGCACCTTTACAGAGCTGGGAAGTGTATTCCCCATCAGAATATTCCAACAAACTACATCTGCTTGGGTAATTAAACACTATAACAATTAAAAAAAAAAAAAAAGAAAAAAAAAAGGAAAAACCAGACCACAGTGGTGTCTCAGCTTATAAAGGTGCTTGCCAAGAGTGGAGATCTGATCTTGCAAGGTGCAACCTGCACAGGAATTAAAGGCAGCTGGGCAGGGCAGACAGTCCTTTAATGACCAGCTCCCTGTAAGCACTGTCAGCTCCTCACTGCTGGATTAGTGCGTGCTTGACAGGACTGCTGCAGCATAATACACAATGAAACACCCCCATTTAATCAGTCAGGATATACAATTACAAGGCAGCTCAAAGATCCTTATTTAACTCAATTTTCAAAACCAGGATTGCCAAAAAAAAGCCCCAAGTGAAGTGCCAGCTCAGTTCACAGAGAGACTTTTCATCACATTTTTTGTCTCAGCTACCAAAACGTACAGAAATGCCAGATGTCACAGGGAGAGACAGTGTAGCAAAGCCTATAAATATTCGAAATTATTTTTCCAGCATACATTTGTGATTCATAAAATGTGGAACTATAATGAATTTCAAATGGCACATAAATGTTCAAATACAAGACACTCCTCTGTGCTTTCATAATGCTTTAACAATATATGTCTGGGTCGTATAAAGCTGGTGCTTAACTTGCAAAGATGTGACTAAACCCCAGTCTTTTAACCAAAACTACCAAACAAAAACTAACAATTGCATTTCAATGTTTTTCAAGTGAGGATTCATCTTCCTGTTGTGCACACTCAGCTGCTGTGAAAGCCTGCAGTAGATAGAACTGTTCTGGCAAGGGAGGGGGTAACCTTTCATCTAAATAATTTTCAGACCAACAAAAGCTTTTGAATAAGGAATCTCTCTGTGGTGATGAACTTGACCTGACAAGCACCTGTGTGAAGTGAAAAAACGTCTGTGTCTGTTCCACAGCACCTGAAATGTGGGAACATTCAGTGGGATTTCAAGTATAGACCTTTTCCATCAGACACAGGTGGTGTGGTAGAAGGCAAACCTGTGCTGCTGCAGCACTGCTGGGGCCAGTGTGGCTCAACAGCATCTTCCCAAACCTCTCCTGTGACCACAGTCAGTGCAAGTCCAACCCCTGCCCCCAACAGACCAGGAATTCCCCGCTCCAGCACAGGTTTGAAAGATAAATCCCTCGTTATGACTAACTGAGCCCCCCCTCTCTTTCCTAAATCACATCGTGTGAGTAATTGTCTTAACCATGACTGGAAAACCTTTCAGGAGACTGAGTATTTCCTCTTCTTGCAGATGCACTGCATATTTTTGCAGTAAGTCACAGATTCTTGAACAGGCAGATACAAAAAGGTGATTTAGGACAAATCCAGAAATACAATCAGACTTTGTACTGCATTGGAACAAAAGCTGTTTGAAAGAATAACCTACAGTATAATTTTGATTAGTGTTCTAATATTTGTTAAAGAGAATTCTGATTTACAAATAGATCACCCAGAAATGTGGTCATTTGATGTGAACTACATTGTGTGAATTCATACTTTAGGCCTGCTATTAGCATCATTAATATCAGGTCAGCTGTAACTGAGCAGGCCATGGATGGGCAGTAGTGTGCAGATCTTGGGAAAGTACAGACCCAAACTTCAAAACCAGAGAAAAATCTTTCAAAGCAGAGTATTTTAAAACTGCATTGTGTATTAGGCACTGAGCAGCATTAAATCCAAGGATGTGGTGGGAGAATCCACATGCAGAAGTACAGGAACCAAGAAGCACAGCACAAACACAGGTGTGAGCTTGGCTGCCGTGTTCAGAACTGGACTCCACATGAACAGAAGTGCTAATGAAACAAACCAAAATGATTACTTACAAAATGGTTGTGGGTTTTTGTGCTTTTTTTCCCCACATGGATATGTTTAATGGACATAGAACCTCCACTCTTCATTTTTGCCAAGACAGAACAAAGGACTTCAGCTGTTCTCTCTGGAATCTGGTTTGGTTGGAGAACATGCAATTGTTTCAATATCTTCCCACAGCTCTTCTATCACCTTCTCTTAGACAGGATTACATTTACCAAAAGCTCTACAAAGGTAACAAATGTAGAGTCTGCCTTCACTGTCACAAGCACTTATGAAAAATACTATTGAGAAGAAAATTTCAAGAGCACTTTAATATACAGAATGAGTGGAATAGATGTGTGGGGTTTATTTTAAAGAGACAGCCTTTATTTAAAGTATTTCGCTTTGTAGATCTTATAAAGTAAACATTACAATACTTCTTTTTTTTCCCACAAATATATTAAAATTGTTTAAATTTAAAAGGCAATTCCACAGACTGATGGATATTTTTAAAGAAAAAAAAATCTAACAGATTTAGAAAAAAACCTAACAGAAATAGGCAGCTCAACTAAAACTAGATTTTAAACATTCTGTTTTGTCATTCCATCTTTAAAAAAAAAGAAAAGAGAAAAACCACACTTTTCACCCAGACTTCCTTTACAGCAATAAGGCAACTCCAGGAGATTTGGATGAGCCCCTTGGAGATTACAGATACTGTAACTGGCTGCTCCTCATGCTTTATTGCCACCCAAAGGTGCAACTATCCATTAATCACAATCACATCTGTGCATTAAAATATAAAACTTAAATTACAGATTTTAAAAATATTACTAATAGACTTCCCTATCATAAAATGCTTTACATTTACAGTACTTGAACTATTTCAGTTCTGGCTGATGAGGTTTAAGCAATTTACCACTGCAAGAGTTAGACTCTGGAGCTCACAAACAGCACAACCCAACCAGGGGCAGCGATAGTCGGTAGAGTCATAGTGCAAATCAAAATAAGGAGTGCAGAACTGCACTAAGTGTTTACATTTCTAAAATATAAATGAACAAGACGAGCTCTTATATTGTACATGCAATAAATTACAGTAAGCACATGGCAATGGGGCTGGGGCATTCTACAAGTGTAGCTGGTGTACCAGAGCTGAAGCCTGTGAAAGATAGGACTCAGTAAACAAAACATTTCAAAGCTCTGTTGTCACTGGAACTCTGCTTTCATGCTTTGTACTTCTGCTTCCCCGTCTCGCTGATCACACAGATATGCTGAAACAAAATAAAATAAAAAGCTCCTGTTAGGAAAGTGACCTAAGAGACCAAGGTTTGACATCAATAACAAGCTTCTGAAAGCAACACAAGTGTGCTGTACACACTTCAGAAGGAAGAATCTTCTGACACTGTTTATGCAGAAAATCTTAGGCCTTTTTTTGGCCCAAAAATCTCCACATTGCCTTCTTTTCTCCTAATCGTCCCACCCAGTGTCTGCTGGGTCTGGTGAGACCCAGATGAAGAGTTAATGATAAAAATAACAAAATGTGAATCTTTCTGAACTTCTTCCCAGGTCTCTCTTCTTTACCTCTGAGCAAATGCACTTATTTGTTGCAGACATCTGGTGAGACAAGAAACTTCACACAAACTTCACCACATTATTTCAAAGCTCCACTCTGCATGCAGCAAAATCATTTTTTTAGTTTCATCAGAGTTCCAAACGCTGCCCTGCTGCTCTCAGGCTTTGTTCTCATCACTGGAATATGAGGCATGATTTAAAGAGCAGGGAGAATGATGTAAGGAGATTTCCCTTCCTTCCTCCTCCCCAGTTTTAAATGGAGAAAAACATACGGGAAAAATTACTTACGTTCAAATCTCTGAAGTATTCATTGTAATCTAGGGCGTATCCCACAACAAATTTGTCTGGCACTTCAAATCCAACAACTGAAAAAGACCATAAGTCACCAGAGTGTTAGAAAAAGAACTTCCTAGAGCTCACTAGATCTTTTTACAGAGACAATATGGAATTTTATAGATACAGATTGTAACTTGTTTCTTCCACACAAGTACCCTCAGATTAATATTTCAGCTATTTTACAATTTTAACTTACTTTTTGATTTATCAACTAAAGGAGATTAAATAGATGTATTTATTGGTTCCCACACAGCTGCCTGGTGCTAGTCTGCAAGAAATGAATGGAAGCTCTTATATTTCCTGACAGGATATTATTATGGGAATGTAAAATTCCTTGAAAACGTCCTCTGACTTTGCAAATAAGTGCAGAAGTGCCAATCCTTCCTGGCACTTCCTAGATGCCTGATGTGCCAGTGCATCAGCAGCAGATTTGTGAGCACACAAAGTGCCCCTCCCAGCACTGGACCTGCACTCCAGACAGGGCTGCAGGAAGGGTCAGTTGCAGGTTTCAGAAACCAAAGTGTGGGTTGGCTGCTTTGGGTTTGCTTTTGGCCTTGGTTTGTTGGTGTTTTTTGTGTTTGGTTTTGATTTTATCTCCCAAAAAACAGAGGACATCAGCCATTCCAGATTGTCTGAACAGCTCTAGCAGGACACTTTGTCAGGTAGGACTAGTCCACCCTGTCTACACACACTATAAAATGACCAAAAAAAATTAAATTATCTAAAATACAAAATTTCCAAACGGCTTTTCCCCCTCATACTAAAATGAAAGACTCCTAGAGCAGGAAAGCTGTGTCTTTTTTCTCTCCCTGGCTACAATGAGGAAAGCAGGGAGATAAACTGTGCAATTCAAATAAAAGGCTGTGGGCACTTTTAGAAAAACTAAGGTGATGTTTAGCACTTACTGGGCCTCACAATACAGGGATAAAACAGAGGCCCAGCCATTTCTGCCTTGTTGTCTCCTTCAGAGCTCACATGTCCTGCTCTGACAGGTTGTCTCTGGGGACAGATGGCAGAACAAGTCATCTGCTGCAAGATGCTCCAAAGGCACCATTAGCCCAGCTAAGCCTATAATGAGATCCCAGGAATGAGGGGTGTCCTTGAATGAGGGGAGCACCTCAGTGAAGCCTCGAGGTATGAAAAGCTTCACTTACAGAGCATTGTACAACCTTGGAAAGGAGGAGGAAGAGGATGTGATTCTGCTGCTCAATTCTCTTTACTTCCATAATGAATGGAACAGGAATTTAGCCTCTGGAACACGGTTAAAACACACAGCCCTGCCCAAAGCAGGAGGAGCTGTCACTACCACCACTGCCTGCTGTGGATGCTGTTCCTTCACTAAAAGTCTTGGGACAGACAGGAGGGGACAAGAAGGGAGTAATTCAGATGCCCAGACAAAACCAGTGCCAATTTAGATATTTTAACACTTTTATCAGACCTGCTACCCCATGTGGTCCTCCCACATTCTTGGGGACAGCCAAATGGCAGGAGGTAGCTAGGCTAAGGCACACAAATCACTCCCAAAAGTGTCAAAAGCTGAATCCAGCAGATTCCACTGACTGAAGCACTTGACTACATGCAAGTTGAGAGAATTTGCACATGACAAGGTATAACCTAAAATATCAAAGTTTGATTTTCAATAAAATGAAAAGTTGCAAATGTTACAAATCCTGATTAACTGTCTCAAAATATATTCCAAATATCTAAATTATCTAAATAAGAGCAAACTTTATAAAAAATAATTAGTGAAAACCTGTTTGGAACATCCTTGGACTTTGAGCAAAAGGTACACAATACAGAGACATACTTTTGATAATGAAAAGTGGTTGTCAAAAATCACTTACAGTCCGGCCGGTATCCCACACTTCGAGGTGTTCTTTTCACCAACAAACTGTCAAATAAAATTAATGTACAACTGAAACAGGGAAAAGCACCATGTACAAATATATGAGACTGTTTTGATGACAGAGAAGCTGAGTTAAGCCTAAGTGTGCATAACTGACAGCATAATTACACATATTTTAAACCATTACTTTACTTGCAGGTACAAAAGATCATAATGACAAAATCAAAAGCTCCTAGAATCATGAATGGTTCACAGCCTGAAGGCTGACTAACAGGTCTGCAAGGAAAAGGCTGGGAGACACTGATCTGGATTTTCACTGTGAGAAGTCACTTAGTGGGATTTTATGTATGTTAGGAACTTCAGGTGCAATTTACCTTGTAGGTAAAGAGGCAACAATCTGGGATGTGGCCCAAGAAAAAAAGCCCAATGAAAGCATAAGTTTTATGAAGGAAAAGTTTAGCTGCTTGAATGTGACCTCAACTGCAGTTGCACAACTTGTCCTTAACTGCTTTTCACTGGAAGTACTAATTACCCCCCATAAAGAAAATGTAATTGATTCTGATGATCAGAATGAATGGTCAGAAGGGTAAAAAGCATGGAGATACAGCGCTGGGGGTACTGTGGTAGAGAGAAATGCCGTGCTAACTTTGATTGATTTGTTCATTATTCAGCAGAGCACTTCTACCTCTTATAAGACAATCCCACAGGCCTGACACTTGTCTGTCTGAGAAACAGAGACTTAGGGAGGAAAAGAAAAGGTGGTAGATGGCTGAATGCAAACAGGACCAGCATAACTCTGTACACTAAGCACAGAGCCCTTCCCTCCTGGATCATCCCTGAAGATGTGGCTTCATTGCCACAGTCACAGTTTTGATTTTAGTTTCTGAAACTTCTAATTGGGAGACTTAATTTTTGAGAATTGGTGTAGAATTTGATCAAAGAAACCCCAAAATAGTGCTGGCATTAGTTCACATCTCCCTACTACAACTACTTAATTGTCTGGTGAAAAATAAATAGAAACCTAAAAAACACCCCAAACCAAACCAAAGAAAAAAAACCTCAAAAATCCCAACCCAATAACAACAAAACAACAACCAAAAAATTATCAAAGAAGAAAAGATATATAAGAGACAAAAGTCAAGCAACTTAGAAAATAAGACTATCTAGAATGATCATGTTTCCCTAGTGAGGTCTTTCCCTGGGCAGACCCAAATTACTGCAACAGGTTTAAAATACAGGAAATTGGTCTTTGCACTATATTATGATATGTTATATTATATTATGTTATATTACATTATGTTATATTAATTATATTATATATTATATGATATTGTATGATATGATTGATATGATATGATTTTTTACACTGTAGTGTTACAACACTTTTCAGTGACACATTTTTAAAAACTGGCCAGGGAGAAATCCACAACGGCCTCACCTTCAGCAGGTCACCTCCAGATTATCAGCAAGAAGAGCTGTTCTGGTAAGTCTAACAACTGCTTTGACATTGTTATGGCAACACAAGTGATTAGATATTACACCCAGCTCTGCTTTATCTCTAATCCCCAGCAATCATTATGCTTTTATTAAAAAACACACAACCACAGCATAGCAGCGCAACAGATGCAATTTAAAAAGAAGTAGGAAGAATGTTGATATTGGTTAATAATACAATATCATCCTCAATATTTCTTGTTGGTTGCAAGTTATTTAATTATGAAATGTTTTGAAACAAATTGATTAAAGGTGTAACTAAGCAGAAAAGCCTGGAAGAGCATATGGCTGGGGGACTCTCACAGAACGACCTCTAAAGCTCAGCTGCACTATGGACACTACACACTCACTCATGTTAGTGTGCAAACTAATTAAATTCCACAATTAAAGAAGGAAAAATAGAAAACCTCCATTGCACAGGTACACCAATGCAGCATAGTGAAGTTGCAGACAGTGCCAGCAGAAACAAACATCTTTGGAGAGACACTGCATACAGGTAAGTGACAACTACTAATTTTTCTTATTCCCCCTTCTAATTAAAGTCTACATTTATGAATTAAATTTGTGCTGAAAATACCTTTATTAACTTGAGAAGGTATTTCTTTTAAGACCAAAAGATTTCGACTCTTCTAGATACTTCTACACTTGGACTTCAGTGGTAAAAGCCCACAAACCATATCATAATATGATAGGCAAGAGGTGTTCCAGGCATGCACAAGTCATGCCCTTCTGAAGCACAGGAAATCTTCCTGCAATAAGACTGGAAAGAACAGTGTTTCCAATATCCTTAGCATATATACGTTTACAGTATGCAAAAGTGCTTTAGGAGTTTAAACAAGTAGTGACTTCAACAGATCACATCACACATGACTCCTGCAGAAAAGTTCCCTCTTGTTTCTCTTCCATGGAAATGTGTTCTATGTTTTGTTTTACTTGGTTTGGCTTTTTTTTTTAACCTTCTTAAGGTAAAAACCAGCACAAATAATCATCAAACATTTACCTGGCTACTTTCACCATCTTTGGATTGTACTGTTTAAGTAGAGACAGCAACGTTTTCATTGTTTTACCAGTATCAATTATATCCTGAAAATAAAAACACTCATGTAAAACAGAGCATTAAACATGTCAGAGCAGCACTTTCAACTTTCTACCACTGAAATTACTCATCCACAGCAGCATGAAAATATGGCAGACTACAGCCTGTAAAAATGATCACAACCAAATCCAGGTGGCAGGAAACACAGTGCTGGGCTTACACAACCACACTGGTAAAGTGATCACACACATTAACAAGAGTGCTTAATTGTTGTGGATAACCATGGCTTTGGAAGCAGTTGCTGAACAAGCAGTTACTGCAATGACCTGCTTGGCTCCTTTTGGATATTTTTATGGCTTGTGCTCCTTGCAGCAACGAGATAATGTTTAATTTGAGTATGATAAGAGTAATGTTAGTCTTGCTGTTGAGCTCAGTTACAGAGTATTCAACGGGAAGAAAAGCAAGAAGGGACAACAGGCAGAACAACTCATTACTGCAGTTAAAAGCAAAGGAGTACAATTTACTTTACAGAGCCAAGAAATACCTGAAGAAATTGCACAGTGAAGTCTGAGTGCAGTTCTGAAGTCTAAAACACACTTAAGTAAATGTTGACACAGCATTTTAATCCCATTCACTGCACATATAAACAGAAAATAAAAGGAGAATATATGGCTTGAAACTGAAGCATCAGAAATGGCCTCCTCATTTGCACTAAACAATCACACCATCTTTAAGAGGGACAGTCCTTGACCTGGCCTAAAATCAAATCTATTTGAAGTGAAGGAGGCAGACAGCAAAGAAGCAGCAATATCCTGGTTTCAGCTGATTTTCCCATGACTCCTAATTAAAATAAAAATCAAACAACAAACTCAACAGAGCACCTGTCAGCATTACCATTAACACTCAATGCTTTTAATCATTAAACTCCAGAGAAGTTGAAGATGTACAGGTATATAGATAAAAATCAAAGTTGGTAAATAAACAGCTACTTCCATGCTCTAAGAGAAAAGCAGAACCTATTACTGATTTTCTGTTGTGTGATGAGCTGTTTATTGGAGATGAATTTACATTTTGTACAGAATTTTTTTGGACATTAAAGTGATGCAGTAAAGCCTAGCACTCAAGACATTAAATTTACAATAGATGTGCATTTTACAATTTGACAGTTAAAATGGTGATCAGTAAGTGTTCATATCTGACTGTGTAAGACGAGTCACTGGACAGATGATTCACTAAGCAAATAAGAAACTAACCTAATCTGGGGATTACAGTCATCTGAAATGGAGCAGATACATAATTAAACACATCTGTCTATCTGAAGCAAAATATACTTCAAAGGACACTACTGATCACACAATGACTGCTGTATACATACTATTTTGGTAGGAGTTTTGGAACTGCATGTGCTTCCTGTGGAATAATATAACCTTCTCAAATTAGGAAAATAATACATAGAAACACATTTTATGGGAGGAAACATCCTTTCCTTTGGCTGATGCATCAGTTGCCATAGTTGTTTCTTTGCTTACAAACATGCCATTTCCATATTTGGAGCCTTAACACATTATTAGATTGCACATCTGCTTTTCCTGTCTACTGCTGCTGCTTCCCCATCCTGAAATTGTCAACTGTACTCAAGGAAAGTGATATTGGCTGCACATTAGCAATGGTGTTCATCAAGACTGAGGTATGAAAGCAAGAACTAAGCAACAGCACCTACCAGGCAATCAAATTGAGCTGTACTGAACCTGGTATCACCCAGAGAACCAGGACAAGACAGAGGAATGGGAATTCAGCAATTGCAAAATGCCAATTAAGAATTAGCGTTCTCTATGTCACTATTCTCTAAACAAACTACACACAGGGACACTGGGCTTAGATCTGTTTTTTCTACCTCTGCAGTTTAGTTTCCTAACTTGCTGGGATGAACCCAGAACAATAACATGCTTAGAATCACTTTTTTTTTCAGGCTACTTTTTCAAACAAACAAAAAAAAAGAAAAAAAATTAGACATTTTAGAATTGACAAAATCTCAGAAAACCTAAAGAAAATACAAACCATTTTAGATGAATGTTTTCCTGGTTAAATATAGCAATTGAATGCAATCTGAGAATTCAAAACACAGCTTAGCTCAAATTCAGAGACCACTTGCAAAATTCAGGCCTGAAAACAGAAGCTGGAAATCTTGAAACCAGAAACTGTAGGTTTTCTGGCTTAGGAACAACTTCTATTAGAACTCTTTTACCTGTCACACATTAGAACTTCCAAGTGAAACATAATACTTACTTCTACGATCAAAACATTCTGTAGGAAGAAAAAGAAAAACAAATCCATTAGTATCTAGACAACATACAATTTCTTATTAATTTTCATAACTCACTTTCAGTACACTTAAATATTTGCACCACCATTTATGTATGTTTACATGTGTAACAGCAACTGCTTTGTAGTTTAACATTTCTGATGCTCTAATAGCAATTAGCTGAGAGTCTTCTCAACAGCTCATGCTAAGTACAGTCTTTGAATTATTCACACTTTGAAAATTCTAGACATATGTGTAAGAGATCAAAACAGAGTCTATACAATTTCCATTCTTCTAGAGAAGTGTCCTACTGCAGAGACGTGTACAATTCTGTCATATCTACATCCTTTACATTGAAACACATCTTAAAAATCACCTATGTGTGAGGACAAGGGGAAAGTGATGTGTTCTGACAGAGCAGGAGCAGTGGTGCTTTAACCCCTGACATCTGGCTCAATAATCTCCATAGAATCACTGGAGAAAAGCAGATTCCTAATTTACATTCTCCTATTTCCTCCTCTTGTCACTGCCTATCATGAGGACCTGTGTTCCTGACGTGGGCTGCACCTTACACATCTCAACAGTATGAATTCCACCACTCCTTCAGAGGAACAAACACACACACACAGCTGTACCCACCTTTCCAGTCAGGGTTGAGAGGTCATCTCCCCCAATGACTTTGATATCTCCAGTTGACTGATCATTCTAAGAAAGAGGAGGATGAACATTTGCATGACAAGAATTAAACTGATGTTCTTCTTGCAGTAAATGTCAAAACTGTGAAGTACACAACTAGTAAATGTTAAAGCTTTCAGAAGCATGGCAACAACAGCATCTCTATGAACACAGAAATTACAAGTGGTCAACTTTAAAGACAGTATTTCAGATAAAAGACTGTTTGACAAAAGATTTGCATCAACACATAATCTGTGACCATTATATACACATATGTATCTAAAAAGCAAGGACTTAGTATGCATTCTTTACAGATATAGAAACAGGACAAAAAACACTTCTGGTTTCCAAGCTACAGGATGCTGTATAGCTAGTAATTTACATTTCAAACTTTGTTGCTTTGGAAAGTCTTACTCTGAATAAGAATAGGCAATCACAACACAAATAGCAAGCAAACAAGGCACTGATTGCTATTTAGGACAATAAGCTACAAAAATAACCAGAAAAGCTTATGCTTAGCTTACAGCCAATATTGGTAACAAATCAAATTACTTCTTATACAATTGAACAGCAACACAGGTACACCATCACTACACTGCATTTTGCTTCAGTAAATCTAAACTATGCTAAAAACACTCAACTGACTTTAAACCTCGACAGTGTCTCAGTTCATATTAGATGTTATATGCAGGTGCTAAGTTCCTGAGCAATGAAAGGGTGAAAAAACAGTTAAACGTTTCTGACATTAGTTATAACCAGATTTCCACTGGCAAGAACTTTGTTTAATCATTAAGCAATGTTTTAATTATCTTCAGGAGCCTTATTTCCGAGTTCAGTACTGGTAAGACTTTAATGCTTCATGGTTTAACACATAAGAGTTTTACTGTTTAGATCTGTTTTCACTGCCTCCGTGTTGTCACTGCTGGAAAACAATAATGGTTTACAAGACTGTAACTCCTGACTCAAGTGACTCCAAGATCACCTTTTAAAGTGGCATTTTAAGTTCCTTACAGTATCTGCTGTAAGGTTTGGTTAGCAGAGACCTTTCAGAATACTGCTGTGACCAGCCTCAACAGAGTTTACCACATACTCCACTGAAAACCCCTATTTTCACCCGTGACAGTGCAACACATCCACTGACTTTTGGCTGCCCTTCATGATGATACAAGCTACATTTGCTCATTTCCAGGCTTAAATGCAGGAGACTGGTGAAAAGCCGTTCTTCTTGTAACACAAACAGAATAAACTGTTTGTCAAGAATACTGAGAGCTGGATCTGGTCACAAACACTATCTTAACATTTCTTAACAGCTTGCCAGATCCTTAAAATTCATCTGTAAGGACTTGGAAAACTGGAGTTAAAAGTAAAGTTTAATCACAGCTTGATCATGTCAGTTTTCTTATACAATTATTTTGGGTGCAGTACAGTATGAATTTTGCATTGCAACACAAAAAAAACCCCATATGCTTGTAAATATTAAATGATCAGTTTGAAACAAGAAAAGAACCTCAATTACATCAATTACAGAACCGTTACAAAAGTTCATTCTGCTTCATTTATGTGACCAGGATATTTTTAACATCTTTTATCCAGTCTGTAAAGGCAGGCAGCATGATCCAGTAATCACATCCAGAGACAGCAAAAAGAGAGCTGAAAGCTGCACTTCCAACTGTCCATTACAGTTTGTGATGATTTTCACACCACTGAACACAGATCCCTTCCTGTAGCAAAGCACAGATCAAAACTACAGAGCAGATTTAGCACTCTGACATTATTACTGATGGAAGACCCAGTCAAGCTGTTACATACATGTCCATGATAGGATAATCTTATCCAGTCTATCAAATTATGCAACCTAAAGGACCTAAATTTGGATATTAATAACCACCTAAGAGAGTCTACAGAAAAGAAATGCTTGTGACTAGTGTAGTGGAGGCATCACATAGCAGCTCCTCACTCATCCAGAACAAGAAAACATTCTTTTATAGAGCTGGCTGACAAAATCAAAAACCCCCAAGCCACCACCTCAAGGAAAATGTCTGGCTTCAACAGCTTTCTGTCCACTTTTCTCTGTTTTTCTCCTCATCCACTTGTTTCTATAGTAAAAACAGGATTGTAATCTCCATGAAACTTACTTTGCTGCTCACTCCCCTATTAATATCAAGGCACTGTAGTTCTGAGGGGGAATAAACAAAAACACCTGTAGTAAAGAAATTAACCAAAACACACCTAGGACACCAGTTAAAAGTCAGCCTTGCTTTTTAGCAGAGACTTTTTCAGGTGTTTCAAACTATTTCTCCAGTATTTTTTTCTGAGTTAGAAAGTAGAGAGCATGAAGGGTGTAGTCCCTGTACTGATTCTTTAAACAAGGTAATCAAGTTATTGGAAGTGTTCCTAAGTGGAGAAAGCAGAAGATACACAATTTGCACTCCAAGAAAAAGCAGGTGGAAGTCATAATTTCCTATTCTTTAACCTACTATTCTGTAATAGAGACATTCAGTTTTCTGCAGGTTTTACAGGCAGAATATATGGCTGTGTGGGGGCTTTGGGGTGAAGTGGACTTGAGGCAGGAGCCTCCCTTTTTGGGAGGCACAGCAGGAAAGAGGCTCAGACTCTCTCCCTCACTGATTTTAAGACAGTGCACAAGCACAAAGTGCCTTGTCAGATACAACCAAAGGCTGGCAGGAGCCCTCCTGCCCAGCCCTGCACTCTCATTAAAGCACATAACTGAATTAGTGCCTTGTGCTCTGCAAACCTGAGTGTGGTCTCCAGGTAACCCCTGCACAGCAGCTGTGTGTGAGCCTCGGGCAGCCAGGGCTGCCTGTCCTGCAGAAGGACTGCACCAAAGCCCCACGCGGCTCTTGGCTTTGTCATGACACTTTCATGGAGAGCTTGAGAGGAATCATGGATTTATCAGGTTCTGCAACAGTCCAGACTAAGTCTGTAAATAATTCCATCTTAGGTTTCACAGTTTAATGAAACATGAGATTGATTTTTTCAATTCAGTTATCTGTATTTTTCTGCTGGAATAGGGAGTGGTCTACAGCTGTGAGAAGTAACTCTGACTTCAATGCAAAGCTGCTGATACAGAACTAACAGCATAACATTGTGAAACAATGTATTCAAACACTCTAAACTGAAACAAAAAAAAGTCATTATTTCCATCTTATAGATGGTCTTAGGGGAAAAATAATAAGTTTCAGAAATCCCAAAACATGAGACTTGGCTGTCAGTAAGCTGGAAATCGTACTGTGCTGACAAACACCTGCTTCCTCCCCTGACCTGCACAACACAGCCCTATGCTTCCTTCTGTAAAACCTAAAAGTTACCTCGTGTTACAGAATGTTCTGTTACCCAACAAAGTTGAATATTTGTGTTCAGAATAAAAAGAAATTCTTTCCCTAAAAATCTAAACCCAAGGCAACCTATGCCTTGTCTTGAAAATGTAATGCCATATTCAGAGGATATTAATCACAAATCTAGGTTTATGTATCTAGTGTTTCCTCATAATCAAATACAACTGATTTTGTTCATTGTTTGGTTCATCAGAACAAAAATGAGACAGGGACCAATTTCTGCAGCTTTCAAATCATCCTGTTCAAGAATGATGTCTGGGCCATATAAAAACTCTCAGAATTAAATTTTTGTAATAACAGCTGCAGGAGAATTCTCTGTATTGGTCTAGAGCCACAGCTTTAGAGATGGGATAGAGGGCAGAGAGGAAATTGCTGAACTAGTAAAGGACATGTAAAGGGTCTCTCTCCTCAGATAATGATTTCATTTGGGTGAGGAGATATCAAGTCTAAAAGAAAATACATTATATAATAAGGTAGAGAAAGAGTAAATTGGCTTGTGACTCTTAATTCCCTTAATTATTTAATATTAGCATGTTAGGGCAGTAACAATATTAAACCACCTCTGTTAATAATCTGTAGTCAACTTAGCTAAAAATTGCACAGTTCTGCATAGATACTTACACAATAACTCTTCAACCTAATGAAGTCGACTGTCGTGGGGATTGATTTGTCACTGTTTCTGTTCAGGGCTTTGATGTAGTCTAATAAATCAGCAAAAAATTTATAGCCACCCTTGAGTACACAGAGTGCCACAATGTGGTGTCCTCCCATGCCCTTCATAATTTCTCGTGCCATATGCCTTGTCTTGAAAATGTAATGCCATATTCAGAGGATATTAATCACAAATCTAGGTTTATGTATCTAGGGTTTCCTCATAATCAAATACAACTGATTTTGTTCATTGTTTGGTTCATCAGAACAAAAATGAGACAGGGAACGATTTCTGCAGTTTTCAAATCATCCTGTCCAAGAATGATGTCGGGGCCATATAAAAACTCTCAGAATTAAATTTTTGTAATAACAGCTGCAGGAGAATTCTCTGTATTGGTCTAGAGCCACAGCTTTAGAGATGGGATAGAGGGCAGAGAGGAAATTGCTGAACTAGTAAAGGACATGTAAAGGGTCTCTCTCCTCAGATAATGATTTCATTGGGGTGAGGAGATATCAAGTCTAAAAGAAAATACATTATATAATAAGGTAGAGAAAGAGTAAATTGGCTTGTGACTCTTAATTCCCTTAATTATTTGTTTAATATTAGCATATTAGGGCAGTAACAATATTAAACTACCTCTGTTAATAATCTGTAGTCAACTTAGCTAAAAATTGCACAGTTCTGCATAGATACTTACACAATAACTCTTCAACCTAATGAAGTCGACTGTCGTGGGGATTGATTTGTCACTGTTTCTGTTCAGGGCTTTGATGTAGTCTAATAAATCAGCAAAAAATTTATAGCCACCCTTGAGTACACAGAGTGCCACAATGTGGTGTCCTCCCATGCCCTTCATAATTTCTCGTGCCAGTCTCTCCGTCCTAAACAAAACCAAGGAAGAGTGAGCTGTCATAACATTTCACTTGTCCATCACAGCAGAAATGTTTGATATTCCTAGCAGCAGCAAACACACACAGCAAACCTGGAAACACGTTTTGTTTGGACATATTTGCCCAACACTTCGGTCACTTTTACACCTTACTGCTCAACAAAGTTTTGCTTTTCAAGGTTAATCCAACAGTAGCGCTGCCAAATGCGCTTGTTTTCCTACGTCACAGGCAGCCAAAGCAAACCTGAACACCCTGAAACTGTTTCACTGTCAGATAAGAGACAAGAAGGTGTGTTTTCTCCTTCCAAAGACAGGTTCTGCTCCCATGCAAAGAGAAATGTAAGCAAACACAACCCAAAGGCAGCGGCCCTCACCAGCTGACGAGCAAGAAAACTCTCAAATTGTAAACTGAAGAGTTGATGTTAATTTGCCAAATCAGAATGCCAGAAATTTGTCCTGAAAGCAGAATACAATACCAGCAAGGCAGAGCAAGAGAACGCTGCCCTGTTTTTCTGCAATAATTGTTTCTAAATTTATTTTGCCATTTATTTTAGAAAGCATGGTCTGCATTTATTGTGTGCCAGCTGACAGCAGGTTTCTCAGAGAAAGCCAACCATTATAAACTTTACGTCAATTCCTTAATGATGTGTACTTTGTCCAATTTTTTTCCTCTATATGGACTTCCAGTGTAAAGTTTTAACATTTAAAAGGAATTTTTTATAGGGATGTTCATTGTGTCTAGTCAAACAGAACCATGGAAAATCTAAATGCATTCCTAGCCACAAGATCCCCTGGAAGACCCATCCAGCACCACTCATAAAAGGCTTAAATTCACTGAATTTGTTGTTCAATTTTATCAAAAAAATTAGCAACTTTCAACCACAAAGTAAAATGAAAATGTCTTATAGGCTTGTGAACACATTTCTGATCACACAAGATAAAACTTGCATAGCACATCACAGATTTCAGAAACCACAGAAGTGACAGATTGATATTTGCAGAGGATATTGTCTTTCTCAGAAGTCAGGAGAAAGCTGGACATTATTTTTCCATCATATCAACATGAGAGAGTCTAAAATTATGTGATGAATAGTTTACCTTTATTAATATCTTATGGAAGTTCAAGAGCCTATATTTTCAGACTGAACTGACACAACAAAACGTCTTCTAGTTAGAGTTTAAGAAGGTAAAACATCAAAGAAACATTGGAAAGAAAGTCCTAAGTTGCTACATACAACAAAATTCTGCTTGAGAATTATGACTAATTTTCAAAGAATAGCATGACTGCAAATGTACAAACTCCCTGAAGCAAAAACAAAAAGAAGAGATTAATTGTCCATTCGAGTCTCTAATTAAATGTCATCTATTTAGACAGTCTCCAAGCAGCAAAATTATCACTGGAAGATGTTTATTACAGTTTCATGGAATCAATGTACTGTGTGAAGTCAAACAAACCTGTCCATGATGAGCCCATGAGGAATATAGACTTTTTCCAAATCATCTGCATAATGTTTAGGTATGCAGAACAAATCCAGGTCATAACCTTGTTCATCATCGCCAATCTGAAAAGGAAACAAGGTGAGATTTCTACAAAGCCTTAGAGAAAGTCTGTACTGAGAAACTTCAAGTCCCTTGCTTTATTCAGTAAAAATCATCAAACCCATGAGTAAAACCTATAAACCCACAACGCTCATCAGAACCACCTTACTTTCCCCCTCTCTAAAAACACAGTCACACTGAACACAGAGTAAAGTGTAATCTAAGAGTTCACAAGTTACTTGAAATAATGTGAGATGTTATGAAAACACAGTCACACTGAACACAGAGTAAAGTGTAATCTAAGAGTTCACAAGAGTTACTTGAAATACTGTGAGATGTTACACAATGCAATGTGTGAAAGTCCTACAACGTTCTTCTCCAGTGAAGAGCAGGAAACTGAAGTTACTACACCTCAGTGAAACTCTATATTCCATTACAAAAATAATCAAGCTTTTTAACCCCTTTGATTTTCCTAGTGTAATGCAAAACCTGCATCTGCAATTAAGCAAGCAGAGGTTCTGACATGGACACCTTCCAAATCTCCACAACACTCGATCACAACAAAACACACAAGCCAGTTTGCAGGACAAGAAGAGAGCTACGTGAGCGTGACAAGTTATGCTGCTGTGAACCAACTCTGCTCTGACCACCGTTTGCAAAATGGAGAGGTTCAAGATTATTCAGAATCTGAAATTAAAGCTTTCAGCAACCTGTTCCACATGGGCAAACTCCCTGTATGAAACAGCCTGCAACACTGGCAAGTGCATATTAATTAGGACAAGGGATCAGCAAACACACATAACGATACCGAACACTGCTGAGGTTCAGGGCACACTGTTACATCAAACAGAGCCTTCCTTGAACCCTAACCCTGCTGCAGCTTGAAAATAATGTCGTTTTTTAATTACTTCCCTCTCTGGTTATGTAGCTGAACACTACCATGTGAAAAAGAATTTCAGAGGGAAAACAGAAGGTTAGTGCTAACAATTCACCAGGACAGGCATTTTAAGTATCCAATTTGGTTACTAGTACCCTTGCAGGACGCAAATCTTATTTCAGTGCCTGTGGAAACACTTACATGGCCAGTGGTTCAACAACTGTTTACACAGGATTTTTGTTGATTAATCTTTAATAAGTATTTTATCTGGGGAATTTCATTATTATTTCACCCTCCCATCCAAAACTGTGTGAGCCACACATACAGAGCTGGAGCTCATGGTCCCCTGCAGTCCCCAGGGACTTATTTTAAGAAATTAGGCAGGTCCTTCCCAAAACTCATGGGGTTTTTCTCTGGTCAGACCCATGGTTATATCCAGCGTGTCTACTAAACCTTCCGTTCTGCATCTGGCAGGGAATGGGCCCTTCCTACAGGTTTTATCAGGTTTTTAATGGACTGCAGGGATTTACTGTCGCGACCTCGCGGCCGTCACAGCTCTCGGCCATCAGACACCGCACGCACTTCATCAGCACTGGCACTTGCTTTAAAACTATAAATAAAAATGAGCATTAAGAGCCTTAGCTGATGCGGCAATTATAAAAAAATATCAAGGATGCTGCTCCTGCAGAACCAGACCCAGCTCACACACGTGGGGTTCTCCCGACCAGAGCCTCCCGCACGCCGGGAATAGCAACAGGAATAGGAAGTTGTGCCGCGCTGGGGGAAGTTCTTCCACCTTCGCTCCGGAGGCGCCAACGCCGGCTTTGCCCGCCGCCCTCGGGCTCGGGATCCCCCGGATGCCACCCCGAGGGACCCGCGGCCGCTCCGGGAAGGGACGCGCCCGGCCGGAGGCAGGGAGGGCAGGGTCGGACACCCCGGGCCCGGCGCCGGGAGGCCGGGGCTGCCCTCAAGGTGACTCCGCGGGGCGGCGGCTCCCGGCGCCGAGGGACGCGACACGCCACGACACGCCACACGATACGCCACGCCACGCCACCCCTCGCGTTCCCTCACAGATCACCGTATTCCGGGGGGCAGGCGGGGGACAGCGGCCCCGGCGCCCAGCATCCCCCGTCCCGCGGGCGGCAGCCCCCGCACTCACCACGATGCAGGGGCTGGGGGTCGCCATGGAGCGCGGCCCGGCCGGCGGCGGCTGCGGGCGGCTCGGAGCGGCGGGAGCGGGCGCTGGGAGCGACAGGAGCGGCGGCGGCAGCGGGCTGTGGGAGCAGGAGGCGCCGCGCCCGCTGCGGCCCCGGCGCCGCCTCCGCGCCCTCCGCGCTCCCCGCCCTCAACATGGCCGCTCTCTGCACGCCGTGCGGCGGCTTGGGGAGAGGGGACACATCGCCGGAGCTGTGCCCGCCGTGGGGCTGTCCCCACCCCGGCAGGGTGCAGCTGGCCCCGCGCTGTCCACGTCCCCACTCCTTGTCTTGAGAGTTGAACCTCGCCTCGCACAGCCCGCTGTGCGTTCCCCGTCCCCTCAGGATGACATGGGAAGGTGACAGTGCTGTGTCCAGTTCTGGGCCCCTCAGCTCAGGAAGGACATGGAGGTGCTGGAACGAGTCCAGAGAAGGGCAACAGAACTGAAGCACCTGGAGCACTGATGGGAGCCCTCGAGGGAGCTGGGGGTGCTTGCCCGGAGAAAAGGACGCTTAGGGAGGACCTTGCTGCTCTGTACAACTCCCCACAGGAGGCTGTAGCCAGGCGGGGGTCGGGCTCTTCTCCCGGGGAACCACAACAGGACAAGGGGATAAGATCTTAGCTGTGCCAGGGGAGGTTTAGGTTGGACATTAGAAAGAATTTCTTCACAGAAAGGGTGATTAGACATTGGAACAGGCAGTCCGGGGAGGTGGTGGAGTCACCGTCCCTGGAGGTGTTTAAGGAAAGACTGAACCTGGCACTCGGTGCCATGGTCTGGCTCACCAAGGGGTGCTGGGCCATCGGTTGGACTCGATGATCTCGGAGTTTTTTTTCCAACCTAACTGATTCTGTGCTGCTGTGACTCCTGATATCCAGGGGGAACAGGGTGGGTAACTGCTGTCATTCCAGAACCAGGCACAGGGATGCACATCCACCAGGTGTTGACGTCCATGGAGGGGCTCCACAGACAGAGGTAAAATAATAAAAAAGCATGGATCGTTCCAGTGGTGTCAAATGAGAGGAAGAAAAAAAAGTGTCAACTTTTCCTGTAGGAAAAATTGTCCTTAGTGGACAATAAGGACAATTAAGGACAATACAACAGTGCAAATGAAGGTTCGTGATTTCTTATATTATGTAGCAGCTAAAGACTTTCCCCCTCTTTCTCTAAGGGGTGGAAACCAGGTTTTATTTTATGGTGCATAAAATCTTGGTGTCAAGAAAAGGATAATGATTCTTAAAAATAACTTTACTCATAAAGAACTGTAGCAATTGCCCTCTGATACGCATCTAGCATTATTACTGTTGGCTCAGAAAACACAATAAAATCAAATAAGGTGTTCCTTTGTATGAAACAACCAATTTAAGCAAATTTTAACTAAGCAAATGGGCACGATCCCTTGTGAGTGCTGTATTGTTACAGTCTGGGCGGGTTAACTGGAGTGGGTGGAGGAGCCTTTATCGAGTTGTCTGGAGCAGCAGAATGAAACATGCCCTGCAGCTAAGGGATATCAGGAACGTGTCATAGCTGGACTGTTTCCAGAAGGCCAGGAAGAACAGCTGCCCTGTCACCTTCAGGGAGAGCCTGACATTAGTGGGCGGTGGGCAGTGTCTATGGAGAGAACCTCAGAAGAATTGCAGGACCTGATTGTATTTTAGTTACTGAAGACGTTTCTCATTAACGACTAATATCAATGTCTGCCATTAAAGTAGCATCCAACAGCACCTTTCTGATGGCATGCACGAGTTCTTGGCTTGACTTCCACGTGGTTTCTCCCCAACAAACAAAACCACTAGTCCTGTTTTGCCCTTCTGGATCAGCAATTTCTTTGTTCCTCCTGCCAAACAGCGCATTCCTGGATCCAAAGCATTTCTGGTCCCGCTGGCACCCCATTATGGAGGGAAAAACAGATTTACAAAAGCAAAAGTGTTTGCTGATATTACAGGAAGTTGGTTAGCTGAGATCAGCACCAGATTTAGAAGATGACCAGTTTTGCTCTTGCTGGTTACGAGGCCACTGAGGCTTGCAGGGCAGGGTGAGGGAGGGGGTTCAGAGGTACCTGGGAGCTGCACATTTTCTGTCTAGATGATGCATAAGGTGGGAAAGCCAAAGTTTTGATTTCTCTGGTATGCACAGCTTTTTACAAGGCAAGATAATGTAATAAATGTACAGAGTGTTTTGTCTCTGAGTAGACTCTTAATTTCATAATTATTTTGTCCTCCGTTGCCAGCCAGGCATATCTCAGTGCTCAGGCCCAGTGAACCATGGCCTGTGTGAGTACCAGTTGTAAATAATTTTATTAATAGACTTTTGAAAACCTTTTTTGCTAAGCACATGTCTCCACTGGTGGGGTACCTGGAGGTAGCAACTGAGTATTCATCTTTCGGAAGCACCTGAAATGGTGTGCACTGGTCTGATCTTCGGGTCAGTGCCCAGTCACCAACCCCCTGCTCTTCTCCCCATTCTTCCCTCCCAGCTTTGACATTGCTGCTGGGTGACTCACAGGGAATCTGCAGAATTTATCTGCTGGTTTTGTTTCACAAAACAAGTCTTCTAAAAAAAGCAAAGAGTGCAACCAATTTTCAGCAGATTAACTAGACCAGCAGGACTCCCTTGTGACCAGAAATTTGTCTGTGCAGACAGAATGGGGGAAAATGAAGAATTCCAGGGATATAAACCCAGTTCTGAGAGGAGCACCACCATTTTTAATCAAGAGGAAAACGAAAAAGAAGTATCTGGTTAAATTATATAGAGATAGAGAGCATTCACTAGAATGTGAATTTAGTGCACAAGCATCCCATCTTCTTCATGGCTGCAAAGAAATCTTTCCACTCTGACTAGCAAATTAAATAGCATATAATTATTTTTCTAGCCAAATGTTTCAAATGGGAGAGGAAGCCAGATGTACCAAAACATCATTTAAAAAGAGACACACCTTTCCTAAGAAATATGGAATAGATGTTGCTCATTGCAAAATACCTTTTAAATCATGTTCTTGTTCTCTGTCTTGTTGATTCCTGCAAAAATTTGTCATCACAGTGATTCTCAGTGGTGACGGGCTCCATGGATTTTGGAAAGTGGTGCCTATCTACTTATTGATTTCAAGACTGGTATATCCTGGATGGTGAGAGTTTATCAAATTTTCTCTCCCTGCCCAGATAATAAGTGACAATTTGCTTACCAAAACTAAGATAAGCAAAACATCTGAATTTGTCTACTTCCCTGGAACTGTAGATAACTTCTCTTTTTCACTAAAAAGGTTTTCACAGTCCAGGATGGAGGTTGGGAGAATTACAGTTCTTTATTCAGCAGTGCAAGGACTGGTCAGTGGCACAAAAATTACACAAGTAGTACAAAACCCTCAGCAGCGGCTGCTCGAAAACATGAACCATCCTGAGAAACGCAGCCTGGATCGCTGCCCACCACGCCGCTCTTCGGGCTGGTATTCCTGGCATTTATCAGCTTTCATTTGCAAACATCCCTCAAGAAGTGTCCCAGCAGCCGTGGCCCAGCAGGACCAGACACGCGGCGGCTCTGTCACAACAGGGCGGAGAGGCCGGCGCTTGGCACCGCGCTCAGCCGGCGCCAGGGACCCGCGCCAGCCTGCTGCCAGCCTGCTGCCGGGGCACAGCTCGCCCGGGGGCCCGCAGAAACTCAGCAAGGATTACTGGAAATGGCACCTAACGAGCAAAGGCGGATCTGGTCACTGAAGCGGGGCATGGGCTCGGCGCTGGCACACCTGGAGCACAGCCCTGTGCTGTGGGGCCTTGTGCCCACAGAGGCACACGAGACTTTGGTAGCCCAAGCCTACGTTTGTGACTGAGCACAGGTGTGGTGAACCTTGCCCCAGCAGCTCTGGGGTCTCAGCTTGCTCCTCTCCCTGCTCCCCAGAGACCTTGTTCCCTGGCACAGGAGAGCTGTGAGAAGTGGCTTGGATGGAGAGGAAGGCACACCTGAAACACAGAAACCTGCCCAAAGGAGATTGTGTTTGTTTGAACCTGTCCTAACACAAGGGTTGAAGCCTGAGCAATGAAACTACCAGGAAGGTATTTTTCTTTTTTCTTGTTGGAAATGGCTGTTTTCTGAGCTCAGCTTGACTCACTGGATGGTGTGTTCTGGTGGAGCTGCTGACTGAGTAAGAAAATAAGAAAGTTCTTAAATACAACCACAGCTCAGCACCAGCTGCAGAGACACTTTGAGAGCTGCAGCACCAACCCTTTGCTGTATCAGCACCATCCCTGCTGCCACACGAGGGGGACACCAGTGTTTATCAGCCACTCTCACGTGGTGCTGCAAGCCCGTGGACACGGTAAAGCCCAGGCTGACCTCCTTCCACTCCTCCCACACCTCCATTGACTGCAGCACAGCCCTTCCCACCCTCAAGGAGCCACCTGAGGTCCCCAGCAATTCCTTTCAGCAGCAAAGCAGAGCAAAGAGCAGGGCCACGGCAGTTACAACAATCAGATTCCTTTCTTTGCTCTACAGCAAGGAATAGTGAGAGGTACATTTTCTCCAAGGGAACCTTTTCTGCTCTTTGCTCTACAGCAAGGAAGAATAGTGAGAGGTACATTTTCCCCAAGGGAACCTTTTCTGCTCACCTCATTCAACATCAACAAGACACTTGAGACCCAAAAGATTCTATGTGGGACATTTCTGTGTAAACTCTACCAAAATTAATGTGACTGATGGCAGCCATGTTATACTGCTGGTTTTCTCAAAATTAAATGGTCTCTGGGAATACAGGAGAGGACAGATGTCCATATTGCAAGATGCATGTGCAGCAAACTCCCAGGGCTACACAGGAGTAAAAGGATTTCTGGGAGATGGGCTGTGCATGGGAAGTGCTCTTGCTCTTAGTCCAGTAGCTTATTTTAGCCAACAACTTAGTTAACACAGCCTCAGTTTTTGCAGTCACTCCTTAGATGGTGGCGTGAAGCAAGAAACCAAGGGAACCCTGCAGCAGGACTTCAGCCTGGGATATCTGCACTGGGAGCTCATTCCACTAAGCCTGAGGGAAGGCTGGACTCCTCCAAATGCAGGGGTTTGGTGCTGGCAGGGCCTCCCACTAGGGAAGGGAAATTGGAGAAGAGCTGTGGGGTTCTCCCCCTTGCTCAGTTGTTTTCAGAGGAGTGAACAGGTT